TTTATTTTGCTTAGTTGGTTTGTCTCTTCATTCCTAGGATATAAAGTAGGGTAATAAACTGTTTTCTTTATGTCATTCTTTCTAGCATAATGTCTTTAATACAACAAATTGTTTTCCAAGCACATAGTTGGTATGATATTTTAAACTCATTCTTCTCTCTTCCTTGGAGATTTTTCTTTTGACCCATAGATTATTTAGAGCTGTATTTCTTACTTTTGAAGATTTTTACCCTTTAATTCTCTCCCTCTACCCTTAATGTCTGAGGGAATCCTATGGTTAAGGGTTGCCCTTTCATTACTTTAAGGATGTTATGGTTTGATTCATGACACGTGATATGACCCATCTGGGTACTTAAATAGGTTACTAATTTGTTGCCCTTAGAAGCCTGCTCTTTATTATGGTCATGCTCTATAGCTTCATTGCTAAGCAGGACAAGGCAGAGCACACTTCTTTCATATTACCTATAATTAGTGTCTTTCCTGTAAACTTGTTTAAACGTTTGCTTATTGCTCAATGTTGGTTCATGAAATTGTCTCACAGAGTTCTTCTTATGGGTCAAAAAATATGAGGCAATACAAACAGATGAAAACAATCCCCATTTCTTAATAAAATATTTTCCTTTTTCTAAAATGAGATAGGAGTTTGCTTGTCGTCTCTTAGGTGTGTGTTAATGAAAACTCTTTTCAGATTTTTTTTTGTAATTTAGAAAATGGAAAGGAAAATCACAGATGGGTTTATGATAGCTAAGGACTCAGGGAAGCTGGATGCTAGCAGTATTTACCTTACATGTGTTCGGCCATCTAAGATTTGTGCTTTGGTGCTAGTTGCCAAGTTTTCCATGCTTAGGTCATTACAAAGGGTAGAAACAAAGCAAGTAAAATCATATTCATAGCCACAGGAGGTTTATGCAACTTTCAGGGTGACTTTAGAGGGGGCACAGTAAGATTTCTGGGAAGAAACACTGACAAAGGCCAGGCTGAAGGTCTGTGTTCAGCCATCCTGGTGAGCTTTTAAGTAGTGGCCATTCTTTCAGCATAGAGTTATACATAGAGTCAGCAAACAGAAAGTCAGCATTCTGTGGCTCAGGGAAGTGCCATTGTGCTAAGGGATAGCTGAACAAATGCATGACAAGCAGACTTAAGGCAGTGGACCCAGGATGCCGGTCCAGGGAGAGAATCCATGTCAGCCGACTCAGAGCGTAGGAGATCCAGAAACTCATTAAGCCCACAGAATGTGGCTAATGGAAAATTTCCCATAGAGAGGTACATACAAATGTGGTGAGGAGAAAGTAAACCCTTGTGAACCTTTCTCCACCTGTGTAGAATTTAACACGAATTTGAACCTTCTTGCTAAATTATGTATTCTTCCAAGTTGGTATATTAAGGAAACAATGGCATTGACTATCAAAGAAGTACTGATACAAAAAGGGGGGGGATAAAATGGGTAACAGGAAAGGGAACCTATGTAGGTCTCTATTTTCTGAAGCTAGAACAGGATCCACCAGACACCATCCAGTTGTGTAAAGCTAACTGTAATTCAGATACTGCAAGCCCTTGCTTCGGTAGATAGTTCTCGCCTTCTGCCAGTTTAACCGTCTCTGGCTCAATGTCCTCTTCAAGGAACAAGAACTGCAGGTGTATTCCTTTCTCAGTGACAAAATTTCAAGGCTGAATGCAAGCCAGTATTAAATGAACTATCATCTTCTGAGAAGGTTCAGGACAGCCAGCCATCCTCTGCTCACCTTGGTACCTTTCGTCTGTCAGAGCACACTGCACAATCCATTTTCTGTCTTGTCATTTTGATGTTTTATTCATCACAGGGTAAGGTTAACCCTGGATTTGTGTTTGAACAAAGGTTATCTTTGGATTAGCTCTCTGTTGGTGACCTGACTCTGCTCCATCCTGCATAATCCAGTAACTCGTGGGACTATCAATTAAGGTCCTCCATCACTCTAATTAGAATGTCTTCTTCGTGTTGCTCTAGTAATTCAGCAACTTCTAAACAGGAAATTGGTAAAATCCAAAGAGGTGTGTGTGTGCTTCTCTGTCCCTGTCTCTGTTTTTCTGTTAGTCTCTCTGTCTCTCTGTTCGTCTGTCTGTCTGTCTGTCTGTCTCTCATGTGTGTATGTGTGCATATGTGTTAACAGCCAGAAGCAATGCCGAAGGTCAGGATACTGTAATAGAGCCATGTAACGGGGCTTAAACTGCTGTGCTTAGACTCTCCAGTGCAAAATCTTATTGCCTTGCTGACAAGGACTGATGCAGAATTATTAATTACTTTTGTTAATGACTTGGGTGAGGACATAGGTGGCATGCTGAGCAAGTGTGTCAATGACAAAAATATAACAGGAGAGCAATTACTGTGACAACAAACGCAGGATCCAAAATGACTTCAAGACAGAATTTAGTGGCCATTCTTCCATTATGTGCCTGGCAGAGTGACTTCCCTAAGGCCTAAGCTGATCGCTCCTGTATCATTGTATCATTTCTATACTCAGAAAACATCACCCATCTTGCTTGCTCTATTACTTAAATCACATACTTTTAGCTTGCTTTTTTTCAGCATTGGCATATTCTCTTCCTAGCCCTTTCTGCTTTTCAACAAAATCATCTATAGCTCTTTTTCTCATACCTTGTACTTGAACCAAACAGAATTATTATTAGACTATTATAGGACTATTTTATATTTATGTCTCTTGTTTATTTTTTATTTTTTTATTTGAATGTTGTTCTTCAACACCCCCATTTCATCATCCTTTCCTTCCGCTTCAGGCTTCAGTTCCCAATAACCAACCAGTTACCACTCAGTGTGGGAAGCACCTTGTGTTTTATCTTCACAGCGTCTTTGGCAGGAGCAATATCTCTTTCCCTCATCTTCAACTGCACTGATTTGCTTCTTCTTTTCTATTATCATTTTTTTTTTTTACCGTGTACTTCATTTTCTTCTTTTTGTACATATTTTCAGTTACCCTGGGACTCTGCTTACTTCCATATCCTCTGTCTGATAAGTAGTATTTCTAGTCTGTGTCTGCATGTGTGTATTTTATACATTGTTGCAAACACTGAGGTGGTCTTTGGGTTTGCTGACTGCAGAGAAGTCAGCATTATGCTTGCTGGAATGTACTGCAGTGAATGTAATGCTGTTAGATGATGGTACTAGGGCTCAAGCCCAGGGGGGTGCAGATGTTGTGGAAGCGCTGTACCACCAGGCTACTTCTCAAGCCCTTAAAGTGTTTTATTGAGTGAATGACTGATTTATGGATACAACTGAATTTCCCTGGAAAACGTTTTGAGGATTGGAAAGCAGCTCTCCAGAGAGGAAAGGGCATTTGATGTTTGAAATAAAATATTTTCATGTGATAACCTCTTGTAATAAACTTGCCTGTGATTTTTATACAGGTAGGCCAAGGAAGGAATTAGATATTTTTGGTTGTCTGTTGTTAAGATAATTGATAGGGGTAAAAATGTGCGTTTTGTGTTAGGATGTACAATATAGACTAAGTTTTTTGGGCAATACCAATTTATACCATTTATTTTCATGTAGTGCTCTTAAATATGGCCCATTTAGATGTTTTATGTCGTACTGTCAAGTATTCATTTTGGCTACATTAGGTATGTAGGTCCTTGTCCTTGATGGGGGTTTAAAAAATTCAATCTCTATTGCTTTCCAGAAGTATGATATGGACTAGTTACCAGATGCCTCTAAGTACGTATGTATGGATGCTTTCATCAATCAGAAAGCAGAAGTCATGAGCCTGAAATTTCTGAGTCATTCTATACTTCTGTATTTATAACCCTGTAGACATTTTCCCATTGACCAGGAAGGTCCAGCGGAGTAGGAAAGGTATACGTTATAGAGTTGCTAAATCCCCTTCATTACAGACTACACAATCAGCTTGCAGAGACTGGTGAATCAATGAAAGACCGTGAGTGGAGAGGACCTAGACACCCTGCTTAGATGTAGCTCATGGGCAGCTCAGTCTCTATGTGGGTTCCCTAGTGAGGGGAGCAGGAGCAGTCACTGTCATGAACTCAGTTGCAGACTCTTTGATCACCTCTCCCTGACAAGGTGGCTTTACTAGGCCACAGAGAAAGATGATCCAGACAGTCCTGATGAGACCTGATAGGCTAGGGTCAGATAGTAGGAGAGGCGGACCTCCCCTATCAGTGTACTAGGGGAGGGACATAAGGTGGGAAAGAAGGAAGGAGAGTAGGACAGGGAGGAGATGGGGGAGGGGCTACAGCCTAGAAGCAAAGTGAATAAATTATAATTAATAATAACAATAATAATAATAATGAAAAAGCTCATAATCGAATAGAGGAACACGATTCTTGCTAGTTAGCAGTTTCCGCTGGCTATCATTAGAAAGTTAAAGATCACAGGGAATCCTGCCTTGTCATTTGTCTTTTCAGTGGATAAGCAAGAGCAGCAGGGGAGGAAGTTTTCTTGTCTCCTGATGATATAAGTGCTGTGTGGTTCACTACAGACTATGTCTGAGTCTAGAATCTCTAGACTTTCAATTCATCACTAAAATGGAAAATACCTGGATCACAACATATTTCCCTCTGAGACTGGACAAGGGAACTTAAAGAAGGGTAAGAAGGTCAAATTCATCTGCCAGAGGTGTGACTCTAGGTCAGAAAATCCAGAAGAACACTTTTTTTTTTTTCATGTAGCAGTTATAGATCAGTGATTAGCAGAGAGGTCTGGAGCCTCACAGCTGGAATTCAATGATGCCAGACCAAATTTCTAACCAAGGGAGCTCAGTTGTGTTATTTAAACATGCTTGAGTGTATCTATATGTAATTTGGAAATTCAAATGCAAATGACAATGTAAAACAAAAGCTATCAATTTGTTGTTGGTCCTGACAGTAAAGCTTGTTCATATTCTTAAGCCCTTGAAACAGTTCTTAGCCTATATCTATTAGCACACATTCCCAGTGATTATTATTAACACTCTCCAGATTACCCTCCCTTAACCTTTTGATTTTTGTTCACAGGATGGGACTTCTGTGGTGTTTGATGAGTCTGTGCTTCTTTGGGATCCTGCAGAGTCATGCCTCAGGTGAGTATGTGGTACTTGATAAATAATTTAAATTAAGATGACATGAAGAATCATGGGTCCACTCTTTCTGGCCGAGAATTTAAAAGAACACAATGTTGGTTTTGTTCTGTGGTCTTCTGTAGTTGTATAGAATCCAGTATCTGAAAAAAATCATAGAATTTGGGGGTGAGAGGGCCCAGAACCCTTAGGAACCAGTTTGATATGCATAAACACAGGAAAATCTCTTCAACTTCACACCCGCAAGAATAATGCTCCTTATCTTAAGTCCTATGGAGGAAATGGCAGCTGCATAGCACAACCTCTTTCCCAAACTTTTACCAGCACTGGAGAAGACTCATTTGTTAGCAGTTCACTGGGATGCTGAAAAACAAAACAAACCCCCAAAATAATAGATCAGACTGCATCTCTGTAGGCATCAGATGATTTGTTGGTAGGCTTGTCCTTCCTTTGGCCATCGCTTTGTAGGAGGAACCAATCAAGATCTTTCTTGAGTTTGAATAACCAAACCTAGTCATCATGGTCCTGGATCCCATGTAAGCAGAGGTAGAAGAGGTTGGATATAAGCCAAACTTTTGATGTCTCTTCTCATCTCTAAATTGCTTCTCATTATCACCCATGTTTGCTCTAACTTGTGAGCATCTAATTTCATGCTGTTATGTATTTTTGACTCATCAAGTTTTATAAAAATTCTTGCACATAGAATTGAAATTGGTCTCCATCATTTTCATATATTTCCTTGATTTAACCTCATGATTAAAAAAAATACCTAAAGCACTGGTTCTTTAATTTTAACACAGGGACTCCAGGGATCCTTATGCATAATTCCTGTGAACACCATAGGCTGTGCTTTGACTATCATCACTTTAATGCCTATTCTCTGTTAGAGCCCTTTGGAAGTGTTAAATCAGCATTATGCAACCATGACCCCAGTGTTCTGCAATATGTACCTTCAACTCTTTTTCACTTGGCATGAATTTCAGCCCTCCTGCCATCCTGATCATCTTTGCTGGGTGCATTTCGGTTTTTCTATGCCACTTAGAGCATTGTATTAGGAACCAAAAATAACTCTAAAGACGGGGTGTAACTAGGACAGAGTACAGCTGAAAGTACAGATAATATCTAAACTTGTTGGCCCTTTGGGACTTCACAGAAGAAAGGCTGTATTTTAACCAGGCCTCGTATTCAACTGGGATGTGCTAGCATACAGCTGGGCCACACTAATATACCGGCCTTTATTGGGTATCTGTCTCCTTTGATTGGAAGGGACTTGATGTACTGATTCTTAAATGTGCTGATGATAACCCTGGACTGTAATTTATTTTCACTTGACTTACTTACTGATTGAATGTTATCTTCTCACAGAGACTTCCCACAAACATTTTAATAAAAAATAGCCCACCTAATCACTCCCCTTTACCCGCTTAGCATTGCTTTAGCATCTCCCATCATCTGCTAATATTCCATCAACTCTACATTGTACCTCTTCTCCGTCATTTGCCCTTCAACCCCATCCTTCTTATGCTCTTCTCACCTGTCTTTCTTCCTCCTTCCAACCTTCTTCCTTCTCTTCATCCTCTTTCCCTTTGTCGTCACCCTCTCTCTGAATCTGAGGGCATAGGTTTATTCATTTTTGTATTTGTTTTCTCAAACACTCAGAATGATGATTAATACACACAGAGTAGGTGCTCATTGCATGCATGATGAATAGATGGATAAATATCCCTTCAGAAGCACCTTTTCTCAAACTGGACAGTTTCGTGTTGGCAGTGCTTACAGCCACACTACTAGTTCTCATTAGAGCATAAAGTAGCACACCAGGAAGTTAAAGGGAGAGGTGTCCATGTTATTGCTGTTGAGAGATCAAGGCATCCCGAAGTCTGTGAGGTCTATTGCCTCCCCAATGGCTCTGCCAGCGCTCCTTTTCTGAATGACCCTCACTGTATTCACCCAGGGATCCCCTTCCCCCAAATGTTGTTGGTAAGTGTACTTTCTTCCCAGGAACTGTGACTCATAATTCTGTCAGGGGAAGCTGCCTTCGTGAATAAGATCAGTTCTCATACCAGCCCCATTGAGTCACCATGGGAGAGGAAACATGTTGTAATCCCCTCTGCCCATCTGGCACACACTCATGCCTTCTTCATGAAGAGGTGTATTGTGTCTGTGTCTGTGCCGCACTTCCTCATTGGAGGGACAGGAACAAAAAGGAAGTGTTGTTGACAAAAAATGAAAGGGGCAACTGGCTCTGTGGATAAAAGGGATCATTGGGATCTTGAGGGATCAGTCAACTTCTCTACATGAAGGTGTCACTTTTGACAGGGATGCAGGGATGGAGATGTAGGCAGACTTGTTGGTCTTCCATGAGGCTCTCTGTGCTTCACTTTCCCCTCTGGTTGGAAGCACACACTGACATTAGGAATAAAGCAGAAATATCCTGAACACCTAGTGTAGTCTGTATTCATAGGACACAAGTCAGGGGTTTGGGACCCTAGATTCAAAGTTTACTGTCCTACAATGAGGTTCCTGTGCAGAGAACTGTCTTTCAAGGCACAAAACTCTGATTTCAGAGTGTGGTCTTCTGGTTGGAGAACTTTGCTTTCCTTATACCTTCAAAAACTGGGAAGGAAACATTTTTCATCTCAAATAATAATTAAAACAAATTAGCAAAAGTAATAATAATAATAAAGTAATACTATTAAGGGATTACAGCTTGCATAATTATGTTAGTGGCAGCATAATTAAATGTGGTTATTTTAGAAGTCATTTAACTCATATGCCTTAAAATCAATTTGCACTTTGCACACTCTGTTACTTTGTTCTCATACCCAGCTCGTGACTGTTGTTGCTCCCTCCTTTTCATTAGACACATAAGTCCTATGTGGTTAAATGAATTAAATCCACACAGCCAGTGTTCAGCATAACCGAATTCTCCACTCGTTCTTCAGTTCCTAAGACTCCTGTTATTTTTATTAAATATGGCTCCCCTGGGCTCTACCAGAATGTAAATGATTTAGAGAGAAGTTTGTGATGAGCAAAGAGCAATGGGACACAAGTGTGAGGGAGTCACTCACTCACTCTGAAGAACTGCCCCGTCAGGTTTCTGTGCTGTCTGCTTAAGCAGTTACATCTTTACCATTCCCTCAAGACCATTTTCTTCAGACGGAACATCACCGCGATTCTCATTTCAAGCCTCAGCATTTCCCTTTTTGCTTGTTACACTTTTCAGCATTTCCACTTAACCTAGAAGGAGTTCCTGCTAGCTAAAAGGGAAAGTGCCAGTTCATCCTCCACTCCCCTTTGGTTTGTTTCCCACTGGCTACATGTTAGAAAGCTGACGTGCCAGAGCTAACTTGGAGAAGTTACTTGGTTGGCCCCTTTGACTCCAATTAGAGAGAGAGTGAAAATAGTATACGGGATGGTAAACTTGAAAATTTGCCGTATCAATATTTTTTTCCTCTGTAGATCTTCTTAAAAAATAAAAAGTGCCTTTTCTCTCCCCCAAAATGTGTGGGCACACAAAAGATGTATGGATGTCTTTTTTTGTTTCAAAGTCCACATAGGGAAAGATGGGCCACACACAGGGCTAGATTTCACACCCATGTCCTAGGAGGAGGGATTACAGCCTTGCAGTTTAGGAAACAAAGAACCTCAAAGTTGGCCCAGCTGCAGCATGTAGGAGTTGATAATGCGTCCGGGGTCTGCCTGACTCCATCCTCAAACAACAGGTCTACAGGGGGCATGGTCATGCCTGGCTTTTCAGTTGGTGCTAGAGATTGGAACTCATTTTCTAGCGGGTGCCCTGAACCCTCCCCCACCCATGTCTCAAGCCATCTCCCTAGCCCCTGCATTTTTCTTTATACTGCATTACCATCCTAGGACATTGTTCTGCTAATGGAAGTCACATTCCATTTATTAAGCTACATTGAACTTTATGGAGGGTATATGTAGTCTTTTGATTTACAGGGTATGAATTATTCAAGATGAAATAAGTATGTGAAAACCTTGAGGTTTACTAACAATTGAGATATTGGTTCAAGTTCTGAGGGTTTCATTCTTTGAGCTGTTTGACACTTGCTAACTCATCGCTTCTTGTCACTGTGTTCTTTCTTACTTTTAAAACTAAGAAATCAGGGCTGGAGAAATGGCTCAGTGATTGAGATCATTGACTTCTCTTCCAGAGGACCTGGTTCCCAGCACCCACATGGCAGCTCACAACAATCTGTAACTTCAGTTCTAGGGACTCTGACCTCCTCTTCTGGTCTCTACAGACACTGTGCATACATATGATTCACTGGCATACATGTAGGCAAAATACCCCTATGTACCAATAACATAGGTAGAAACAATTTGAAACAAATGAACAAACAACAAAAACCCATACCAATCAACTAACTAAAGCAGTAGTAGAGCCCAACTAACTTGGCCTTCTGGTTTATCATTTCTTGTTGTTGTGATGGTGGTGGGTGTTGGGATCGGTAAGCAGGCACTTCTATGGCCAGCCCCAAGGGACCTGATAGACCGGTTATCAGGCATTTGTGAAGACACCCTGACCACCTGGAATTACCTGCGCATGCCCTTGATCACCCTATAAAAGAACTGGAACCCTCCCCCCCCCGCCCCCCTCTCTCTTCTTCCTCTTCCTCTCTCTTCTCCTCTCTCTCTTCCTTTCTCTGTCTCTGCTCCCTTCTCCCCTTCCCCTAAAAAAAAACCTCCCACGTGGAACCGATCTCGTGGCGTGATTTGTGAACCCGCGTGTAACCTTCACATTCGCACGTTTCCTAACAGTGGGGATGATGATGATGATTCCCTATTTTCTCTGTCTCTGTCACTCTCTCTTTTTCTGTGTGCATTTGTAGGCACACATGTGTCACAGGGCAGGTATATGAAGGACAAAAGACAACTCTATGAGTCAGTTCTCTCCTAGGATCTCAGGATAAAACTCATGTTGACAGGTCCACATGCCACTCCCTCTGACTATTGAGCCAACTCTTCAACAACCATTC